CCAGTTTGAGACTATAGTTCCCAAGGAGGACACTAGACTTGCATGACAAATAGGTTCTAGGCCCAGCCTCAAAATAAGATCTACTAACCTTTCAAAGAAACTAATCTATTGGTTAGGAAGTCACGTCTATAGGATAAATATAAATTACTAATTTAACTCTAGGAAATGGTCAACTTTAGCCTCAGGTCTACATAAGACAGCAGACAACACAGGAGTTCTAAAAGAAGAAAACCCACCTTCTCCCATCTTCCCTATGTTTTCCTGATAGTCACTAGATAGTAATTTTAGTAGGAAGTATCTGTGCTGGTTGCTTTTTTGTCAACTTGGAACAAACTTAAGCCATCAGGGAAGAAGAACATCAATTGAGAAAGCTGCCTCAATTGGCCTGTAGGCCAATCTGCCAGGCATTTCCTTGCTTAATGATTGGTGTGGGTGGTGCCACCCCAGGCAAGCTGTCTTGGCATCTTGGGTTGTGTAAGAAAGGTAGCAGAGAAAGCCAATGAAGTGTTCCTCCAGTCTGTGCTTCAGTTTCTGCCTCCACATTCTCACTGTGAGCTCCAGCCCTGACTTCCCTCAGTAACGAGCATGACTCGGGCGTGTAAGATGAAATAAACTCTTTTCTCCTCCAAGTTATTATTGTTCATGGTCTTAACCACAGCAATAGAAAGCAAACTAGGAGATTATTTTAAATTATCCTCAAGACAGAAAAACAAAAAAGCCTGAAATATGTGGAAAACAAAAAATGATAATATACCCTTTCTTTATCCCTTATGCCAAAATGAATTCCAGTTGGTCACATTAAAATGTAAAGATTACAATTTTAATAAGTATATTTTTAATTTGAAAATCTAGGAAAGACAGATTGAATACTATCCTATTAGACTGCAAAAATAATAAAACTCTGTGAGAGAGTATGCCAAGGAAATAGATGGCAACTTGGAAACATTTATCTTTTGTATAATTTCTACTTTAAAGAATCTAAATTACAATTTCCTCATTTATGGACAAAGATGTGGTGATTGCCTAGATATCCACGGTCATTGCTTACAACAAACAAGCAAACACAAAACAGAAATAACTTGAGGACCCATTTATTAAATTGTATTATACCCATAAAATAATGTATTGACTAGGGACCAGGGATTTATCTAACCAGCATAAAAATATGTCTAAGGCATAAGGTATACTGATTAAATTAACACATAGGGACCATCATTTTTCCTTTCAGTACTGAGGACTGAGCCCAGAGCTTTGCACATGCTAAAACAAGTGTTCTGCCACCAGACTGAGCTACAGCCCTAGCTCTTGGCTATGTAGTTTAGGCTGGCTTTGAACTCAAAAATGGCCAGAACGAGATTAAGTTCTCAGGTCTGGTAGTAGGAAGTTAGCATTGTCACAGTTTTTGACACTGAAATGCTGTCACCTGTTACACTACAACTTAGCTGACTGTGTGAATATGCAAAGGGTTTCAAATCATTGTAGTTACTTGCAAAATACAAAGTTAATTATTATATGCAGAAATGCACTAGCTGACTTTCCAGTATTTGTTTAAAATTAATCACAAATAAATTTTTGTATCTGATAGACTATGCATTCTATTCAAAGATGAATTAATATGATACACACTAGAAAGACCAGGACTTTGAGGAAGCACAATTCCTGAGGGAAACCTTAAATAACTGTATATAATATATATGTGCATTAAAATACACATATGAATGTATATCACATACAATAATTATAGTAGCAGACTCGTGCCCAGTAGACAGTTCATCAGTCTCATGAGGAACTCTACAAAGTATACATAAAATCTGTAACTGTGACTGTGAAATAAAAATGCCAGACCTCAGCTCCATGAACAAAGCCTCTTTTGGAGCCAGGATCAAGACTGGCTTTAAAAGAAGTAGTTAGTGAGCTGACATATGGATGATGAACGAAAGACATCCTGCCAGGAAGCAGCATATACCTAGACCCTGCAATGGGAGGGAGCCGAGCACTGAGAGCACAGACAGAAGAGACTGGAGAGAGGGGAGCTGGGGACACACAGGCCGGAGGAGGAGGAGGATAGCACCAGGACAGCACTCTTCACCCCAGCACTCATCAGGACCCATCAGAGGACTGTGGGCAGTATGGAGACTTGGTCAGAGCTGAACTGTGAAGTGACAATGCCACGCATGTCTCCAATGCATTGAGCAGATGCAAGGAGGAGGTATGGGCGACTGCAGCAAGAGAGTAAGAGAGAGAAGGGTTGGAGTGGGAAGCAACAGTGCACCACAGGGTATAGGAGATCACAGTGCTTGGGAAAGAGACCGAACAAGGCAGTCCACTAGCCACAGGTCCTTAGCTGCACGAGGCACAGAGTTGTTTACATTTTAGCAGTAAATAAAGTTTAAAATCACTTCTACAGAAGTCCCACCAGCCACATTCCAAATGCTTAAGAGCCCCTAGTGTCAACGGTTAGCATTCTGGGTAACACCAGGGGTTCTAGATGGAATGGAAGCCAGGAGGCAGGGAATTCAAAATGAGCATGGCAAAGAGAAAAGGAACTAGAGAAAGAGAAACTGGAGAAAGGGAGAATGTGGAATGCCACGTGAGTGACAGAGTGAGTCTAGCTTGTCTTAGCAGAAATGGGGGCACTCAGTCCCACGGGGCCTGGCCCAGCGCCTAATCAGCATGCTGACTCAGGAGAGGCAGGAAAGGACTACACCAGGGACCAGAGATTCCTGCTTTTAACAGACCCGAAGCGGGCGAAGCGGGTGCAGACAGGCAGAAGGGCTTGGCAGCACCCAGGTGAAGCTCCCAGGCTTTGGTGAGAGAAGAGGCCAAGGGCTGGCAGAGCTCTAAAGAGAGCGAGGGGGTTTGAGGGGGCGGGGTCTGGCCGGGTCTGGCTGGCTCTGCAGAGAAACAGAAAGATGTGGAGCCAGGAACTTGGCAGGCAAGGTTTGAGAACCCTGAAAGGTCAGTGACCGTGAATTTAAGTGGTGCCAACCCGGCTGGCCTACCAGCCCTGTTCAGACGAGGGGAAAGAGCTGGATTAAATTCTTAACAGTTAAAGTTTACAGAGAAGAGTTAGAAATAAATCCAGATGTCAGGAAAACTGAAGCTTGCCTCATCTGGGAAGGACCCTTTCACACAAAATTAAGTGCCGGGCTTTGAAAAGTTTTACTTAAAGAGACCTTAGCCTCGCTGTAAATCGATCTCTGAGAGGACCAGAAAAGGGTCAGAGGACAGCCGGGTTGGGTTTGAGGAGAAGCAGGGCCTGAGCTGGACCAAACCAAATGGCAGAAAGAGCAAGTAAGGCAGCAGTTATGGCTGGGATGCATGTGCACGAAGTGTAAGTGCCTGAGGCTTCTGCAACCGAGCAAATCCAGGGCTGGGGCTGGAAGCGACAGATTAATCAAGTTCATGAAAGTGACACAGAGCCCAAGGGCTTCATCTTGTTTTGATTTTTTTTTTTCCACAAATGGTGGAGGAGAAACAAGGACACCAGCCCCCTCTTAACCCAGTTATGTGGGAAATGAGGACTTTGGTGGACTGCGGCTGCCAGAAGCAGCTTGCTTACAGATCCGTGTTTGTCAGTAACACACTCCTTACAAAGCCTACTTGGATCATATTACTTCACAAAAACTTGAACTCCTGTTGCTAGAGTTATCTTCCTCCTGCCTCCTGCACTTTGCTTAGAATTAAGGGAAGGGGAGCTGTTTGTTTGAAGACCTTGTGACAGACTATGGAAATATGAGAATACCTGAGCACTGAAGTTGGGACAGGATTTGGGTGCCTTCAAAGTGGTGACTTGTCATCTTTAAGTTGGGTTTGATGCAGCGAATGAAGCTTGCTCCCTGAAAGAATAAGAAATACTTTTTAAAATAGTACATATAGCACCTTTGCTTCTATTTCTATGAATACCACTAATTTCAAAGCGTATTAACATTAATGACACAAAGAAATTTATAGTTGTATTGTCATATTTCTATAATTTGAACCTTGAAATTAATGTCTATGTTATAAATATTTGCAAAATGACATTTAGTTTTGAATGTCAAAATCATTTTTAAAAAAGTCTTTCACTGCAAAGTATTTCATCACATTTAAACAATGCATTATGTAGACTTAACATTATTTTCTCATAGAGGGTTTGGATTTTTGTTTTTCAAGCCTTGCTCACACAGGTGAACATTCTACCACTTAGCTAGATCCCCAGCCTCTATAGCGGCCTGGAAGGGAAATAAAAATAACACTGTTTAAAATTTAGGCCAAAATGTAAGCAAACAAAACACAAACATAAATCAGTATTTTTTATTCAACTTCAAAAATATACAGGTCCCAAACTGCACCACTACGTGTTTTGTTTATTAAGTAATATTTTCAAAAACTTTAGGAATGCCATGTGGTGATCATATTTTGCTGAACAAGGCAGAGAGAACTGTTTGTTCTCTCTGTTTGTACCACAGTGAAAGTGCTGTGTACAGAAGATAGCATAGCAGACATCCACAGCTGTTTGTCTTCAAAGTGGCCTCTGTACAACCCTAAACAATTATTTCAGTAAGGATGCTCACCATGGACACTTGGATGACATGTTTCTACAAACCACAATCACCTCATCATTTTAGAGCAGTGTACTCTTTGAGAAATGAAAATAAAACAACCTCCTCATCAGACTTAACCTTTAAAGAAGCCTGGCTCATGAGGAAGAGTATGTACACATGTATGAAATTCCCAAGGGAAAAAAAGTGTTATATTTTTACAAGATGCTTGGCTCTTAAGAGTCAAATATTTTAGACTTGGAAACTTCGGGCTTTTCTGGGAGGCTCCAAAGGGAAAATTCATCAGTAAGCAAAGCAGTAACAGCGAGGGCAGAATGAATGTTTGGTTGCTGGAAATGACCGGTGCCTTGAAGGGAACAGTATGAAGATGAACTCCATGATTTGTATAAAAAAAATAAGCCTTTCCTTAGAATCGAAATTTTTCTATAATAACCCACATATTCATTGTCATTCTTTTTCATTTTGCTTTATAAAGACAGGCTCTCACTGTGCAAGCCAAGCTGGCCTCAAACTGAAGAGCCTCCTGCCTCAACTTCCCAAATTCTGGGTTCTCCAGATGTGTGCCACCATACTCAGCAATTAGGATTTCTTTCTATGTGGGTTTTGTTTTTCAGTCAAAACACTGGGGTGAACCCAGGTACAGCAAGTCACACCTGTGATCCCCGGGACACTGGGTCAATGATAGGATGACTATAAGTTCAGGGCCAGCCTGAGCTATATGAGGAGACCCTGTCCAAAAATGTAAGACAAAATTAATCAAGGGACAGGTGTACAGCTTAGCAGCAGAGCGTTTGTCTAGCATGTGCAAAATCCTAGGTTCAGTGCCACCACCACCAAAACACATCTAGAAAAAAAATCCCAGGGTGAATCAAGAAAATGCAGTTAAAAGGTGAATTGGCAGTAAGCTTGGTGTCTATAAAAAACAGAAAAACTCAAGTTCATTTTTGTCTACAGTGCACTGCCTTGTCTGAAGGTATTACAATAAATTGCATGTTTTATCTTTAATATTAAAATATGTTTGCTCTTTTTCATAATTACTATTTTCACTTTTGTGGAATCTTCATTTATTAACAACAAAGACTTCCAAATAATTTCATTTCACATGCATACTTGACCTTTCTTTAAAAAAAAAAAACTAATAATAAACATCTTACCATCTCAAAAGCTGACTGTGTAGGTGTGGGTGTGGGTGTGGCTGTGGCTATGGGCATGCATGTGGACAGGTGGCTGTAGGGGGGTGTTTCTGTGGGGGTGTGACTAGGGTGTGGGTGTGGCTGTGGGTGTGGCTGTGAGTATGTGAGCATGTGTGAGGGTGTGCCCTGGGACTGGCATCCCAAACCTTATACTTACCAGGTAAAAATCTAGCACTGAGTTAAATTCCAGCCCTCTAAAAACCGACATCTTTTTGAAAGAGAATGTGGTTTAAAATATACCTCTCATTATCCCAGGGTTACTATGCTTACTTGGATAATCACCAATAAAAGCTTCAAAAGACCATTTGAAAAACCCTTTTCTTAGTAAGTATACTCACAGTACTTCGGAGTTTATCCAGAAGCAAATTTAACTGTGTCTAGAAAATTAAGGAGATAAGATTATTTCAAAAAGTCAAAATGCACAGTGGAAATGAATTCATATTAACTCACCAAGATGAGACTAAAATAACATGCAAAAGCATGCCCATGTAACATAGCATAATATCCTCGAGGCACATAATCTGTGTAACAGGCAGCCTCATGCAAAATGGCTAACGAAATGTCACGGACAATAACTTACATCATTGACACAGAACTTACATAATTAAGACTGAAAACTGGTGACACATTAACAAATACGATGAATGAGGAAAATTATATGAGCAATGAAGAGAGCATGTGAAGATACTGGAGTGTACTCAGTAGGAAAGCTGCAGTACAGTATCTGTGTATGTGGCAAACAAGGCACCCCCGTGTCACATGCTATGAAGGCTGAGATGTTTAAAATGAGCACTATTTGTACACCAGGATTAATTCAGGCAGCACAGCCAAACAAAACTGTTTTTTTCCCTAGCTACAGAAATTCCCTTTCCTATTTTAAAAATAGTATATATTTCAAGTGCTTTTAAAACTCAAATGTTTCCTTAAAATATTTTTCACAATGAACAGTTGTCATGATTTCCTAGTTTCAGATTACTGATTATAATTTACCCTGGCTCAGTGTGCTTAAATTATGTTTGTTTTGCTAGTCTATACAAAGTAATTTTATACTGAAATGCTTATTATGCCACTTAGAAAATACAAATTAAGATGCTAATTCTTAAATTAACATATTGTGTTGAGCACAGCTATAATTAATAGTAACATGTAGACTTTGCTGAATGCTTTTCCATGAGTGGGCAACGCTCAAAGAAAGCTTTTCATGAGTATTGTTATATTTAATCCAACAAAGAATACAGCACAATGAACCTAATTATTAATTAGTCTAGGGATAGATTATTAGCCTCGTAGTACAGGTATTAAGATCTAGGGAGTAAAAACTTGATGTGTCTGAGAACATGGAGCAAGCAATGGCAAAGTCTCGGTATCAAAGTTTATTCTCTTACTGTGAATATAATTGTTATTAAAATACAGGGAATTTGTCATGGGACTGAAGAGCACAGTCACACACACACACACACAAAACTAGTTGACAGAAGTCAACATTAGTCTGTACCCCAGACAACTGAAAAGCAAGCCTCTTTGGAAAGAAAGCAACAGTGATAAATCCACTCTTTTTAATCCATAGACCAAATGTGCTGTTTTGCTCCTAAAACATGGAAATAAGTAAGAATAGAAGAAGGAAAAATTAAACAGCAACAGCTGAGAAAACAGAAAAGAATGTTCATTAATGCAAAGCCTAAGCCAGAGCAGGAAGTACTCTGGGCAAATCAGGCTTCGTGTGTATTTTTATGTAATTATTTTTAGAATTGATGTTAATTATGTATAGATGTATGCATGTCGAAAGTGAATGCAGTTACCCTCAGAGGCCAGAGGCTTCAGCTTCCCTGAACTAGAGATCCAGGTGCATGTGAACCACTGATGTCGATGCTGGGGACAGAACTTGGGTACTCTACAAATTGAAGTACACACTCAACCTCTAAGCCATCTCTCTAGCCTCTAATATTTTACTTTTACAGACACAAATATTTGTGTTTATAATACAATAAGACTTCCAGCAAAAATAATTACTTTTTCTAAAACACTATCAGGAAATGGTGGAAAATATTTGGTCCCCATGGCACTGGATAACTGAAGTGTTATTGACCTATAGTCTGGATAACTGAAGTGTTAACTGAAATGGAGTCAGCTTTGTGTTTGTCTTACACCGTTCACATTTAATTTAATGAGCTATTAAAATGTGTTTAAAGAGAAGAGTCCTAATATATATATATATATAGTGAGAGCAGAAAGGAAATGTGATAGGTAGGGTTTTAGTTGGGGGAGGGGGTGGGAGGGTGGGGCAGGATGGAGAGGGAACTGGGATTTTCATGTTAAACAATCTTGTCTCTAATTCAAATTTAAAAAAGGAAAAAAGAAGAAGAAATAGAGTAGCTATATGTAGTAGCACATGCCTTTATTCCCAGCACTCAGGAGGCAGAGGCATACGGAGTTTAAGGCCAACCTGGTCCATATCGTGTGCTTCAGATCAGTCAAGACTTCATTTTAAAGCATATCAGAGAACAACATATGTGGAATATTTTATTCATATCACTCAGAGTTCTTGCAGTCAGTGCAAATAACAGATATTGTTATGTTTAAACAGTTACAAGGTATTTGAACTCCAGTTAAACGTTATTTATACTATCACTTATACTATTAACTACATTTTTAGTAGCAATATAACTATATTCATATGGTATGTTGTGTTTTTGTTTTCTGAGGAGGGTTCTGATGGTTATGTTTCCCAGGCTGGCCCTCCTGAATGCCTAGGCCCAAGTGATCCTTGTTTGTTGCCCTCCTGAGTCACCTGGGACCACAGGAGTCATGACACCACATCTAGCCCATGGGCTATTTTCAAACCAACCTGTTATCAAATATTTAATCTTGAATGGAAAAATACTGGGTAAAAAATATTGCTTCCGAGGACAGAGACCTACAAGGATGACACAAACTGACAATCCAGGCAATGGTGGAGAGGATAACCCAAATGCCCTTCCCCTAAAATGAGATTGATGACTACTTTTTATGCCATCCTAGAGCCCTTA